TGATTTACAAAGAAAGTGATAATTGAACATGAGTTTCCACCGTGGGGTGGCTGGGCTCAGCCTTAGAGATAGGGTGAGGAGTTCGGACATCCAGAGGGAGCTCGGAGTAGAGCCGCTGCTCCTTCGCATCGAAAGGGGTCAGTTGAGGTGGTTCAGGCTTCTGATCAGAATACCTCCTCCCATTAGAGGTGTTCTGGGCACGTCCCAATGGTAGGAGGCCCCGGGGTAAACCCAGAACAAGCTGGAGGGATTACATATCTCATCCGGCCTGGGAACACCTTGGAGTCCTCCAGGAGGAGCTAGAAAGTGTTGCTGGGGAGAGGGACGTCTGGGGTGCTTTGCTCGGCATGCTGCCCCGCGTACCAGCCCCAGGTAAGCGGGCAGGCGGGCGGACAGACGGACAGGCAAATTCCATCTCCTGACCAAAGGCTTCATAACAGCTCTTAAACTGATTATTTTGCCAACCAGACACACTTCACATTGAGGAAGCTAAATCCAGCGAGCCTGAGACTTTTACTGTAGCGTCACCAAAGATTTTGGAAGAAACATCTTCACTTTTCATCTTGTGCTGCCACCAGGTCAGGATCTAAATTGATCCAGTGCTGTTGTTTATAACAAAAATACTACTGACATTCTCATCAGCCTAAGCTGTACAGTGTGTTCTGTTTTAGCCAGCAAATGTTAGCATGCTAAGACGCTAAACTGATATAGTAAAAACAGTAAACACTATAGTACCATCACAGTAGCACAACAGTAGCACAGAGTGCTTCATTCCTGCGGCACTCTTTTGTGAGTATGTTGGCATGCTGATGTTAGCATTTAGCCTGAGGCACTCCTGTGACTCAGATCAGCCTCATGGAGCCACGATGACTGTCGGCACTTAGTCTTATTGCGTAATACACACTTAAATGATTCACTGACTGTCAGAATTGACTCTAATTGATTTTTGATTATTCACCTTATCATTCAGCTGTATTTCCTTGAGATAAGATTGAAGCCAGAGTGACACACTGAAGTTTCAACAGTGTTGTAGCTCTCTGTTGTGTACTCTGCTCACCCTCCATCTATCCACATAATAACGCCTCTAATCAAGCTGTGTGCCGACACTTTGCTTTATGATTTGTTTGTTTGAACAGTGGGACAACAAATCTGGGGGACGCCTGCAGGAACGCGGCTTTGAAATGCTCTGATGAAATGTAAATCACTGCAGATTTATCTGCGCTTCATTCATTCGTTGGGGCTAATGTGGAAACACGTTGTTACGGAGCTCGCTGTTTTGCTCTTGCAGCTACAGTGCGACTTTGTCCCACAGATTTGGCTGTGTTTTACAGATGTGGCCTGAGGGCTTTGGACAGTGTGCTGGACGAGGGGAGTTCCCACTTGCAAAGTGAAAACAAACTTTCAAAGCTGGAACAGGCCCAAGAAAACAGAGGCACCTTTTGGATGGGAGAGCGCAGAAGAGACGGAAAGGAAGGACCTGTGACCTGTGCCTCCAGGAGAAACCGGAGAAACCTTGGAGGGAATTTAAAATACCCTCAAACTGTCCGTCACATCTGGAGCAGTCGCTTTCCCTCTCCCTTAAGCATCACTACCCAAAATCCAAACCACCCACCCTCTCCCCGATCCAGTCCTGAACTTGGATGGACACAGCAGCTCCAGAGGCCCAAACCAGCACCCCGTATCCATGGAAACAGCTGTGTACATCCAGGAGAGAACTGACTTTCGCCAGACACAAACAAATGATAAAAATCAGAAAATCTTGTTGAAAAATGTTCTCATAAATTCAGTTTTATATTCTTACAAGGAAATGAAAAATTCCAGCACCGCCATCATGTTCCTGCAGCTGAACCTGTGTGTGTGTGTGCTGAAGATGTGTGTGTGTTTTGCTTGCACGGGGTTTAACTGTGGATGTACAAACAGTGTCACGCTGCAAATCCCTCTCACAATACCGAACAAGTTCATCGCCACTGCTCACCGTGATGGATGATGTAGACACACTTCTGAATAGCACACACACTTCTTAAATTTGTGACTCTGGTTGCAGTGCGGTGCCGTCTGCTGAAACTCTGCTGACTTACCTTTTACACAGTGATTCATTTTATTGAGGACATTTTTCACTCCGGAGGTTATTATCTGATCTTTTGAAGAGGAGGACTGGCATTTTTTGGCAGCGTGGTCACTTTGATGTGTGTGGTAATGTGTGTTTAACGAGTGAAAAAAAGGTTTGTTCGGGGTAATGAAAGTTTTACATCTTTCACTCATCTTGAATCTTACAAATATTAGATTTTTATGAGCCTGGCCGGTTTCTTTTCCCTCCTGTTGTTATTGGGCTCATCCTTATTATCTGACGGTACATTCCTGCATGTCATGCACCTCAGCTGTGTGCATTGTTGCCTTGTTGGTTGCTACTATTAATAGCGCCGTGGCAGAGACCAGGGATCCTCCCTGCATTTGTCTCTGCCTCTGCGCGGAGAGTGGGCCCGGAGAGGAAAGCTAAGGAGCTGTTTACCCAGCCTTTGTGCTCGGCGGGCCTCAGTGTTTGCCCTGCAGGGAGTGCCTCAGCTGGAGGGCCTTTCCGTGCACCGAAGGGTGGGTGGGTGGAGCAGGGTGGCAGGAGAGAACGGGACAAATCTGCAAGGTGGAGGGGTGGAGAGTGGCCAGGAGCTGCGCTGGTGAAAAGTGTGTGGTTTGTGATGCAGCGAGCAGGGGGCATCAGAGGAGTCTCCTGCCCATCGTTCAGACCTGACAACTGGTGACACAGTCTGGTGGAGAGGTCAGGGCAGGTCTTACTGGACAAACATGAAGCAGGGTGGCACACATGCATGAGTGTGTGTGTGTGTGTGTGGCCTACAGGTGCGTGCAATCAATCATGCATGTGCACAAGGGGTCAGTGGGCCCCTGGGCCAAAGCTTCTGTTACAGCTTTTAGCTGCAGCCAGCCGCTCTGTTGGTCAGTTGGTCGGTGGATCCACAAAAATGTCACCACCCTTTGGCGGCCATATTTTTGCAAGGCTGAAAGTTGGCATGGAGGTCAAATGTGTGTGTGTGTTTGTGTTCGTGCCAACAAGGGTGCAGTTGTAGTGGCCTAAAACAAAAAAGCGCATCACTTCTAAATGGATTGCCACATCCCCTTTCATCACTCATTGACCGGTTGTTGCAGGGAGGCATCACCATGACTATTGTCAGCTGTTTTTTGAGGTTGTGTGCTCGTTGATGCATGCACGTACATGGCTGCAGATACTGCACAGGAGCGCTTGTTCTCAGTCGCTTTGTTACATTCCTTGAATCATCCTTAACATTTGCAAAACAGTGAATTTCTCAAAACAATTAGTACAAACAGCACCCAACAATGGATGACCGGCAAAAACTATAGGCTGTATAAAATAATGGACGTAGCTACTGTCACCATTTTGTTTGTGGACTCTCGTTTTGAAGCCTTCAGTTTGGCATTTCAGCTGTCACTATCTTGGTTTTTGGAGCCAGAAGTGACCATTTGGATGAGAGGGTGGAGCTGTGGAGGAGTGAGCGGTAGATCTGACATGTAGACTGTGGTGACGGCTCACAGACAGCCTGTCACCTAAAGCGTCCCTACCATTAAATATGCGTAACTTTAAGTCTTAATAAAATGTAAACTGGTTCGAGCCAGCCTCAAGTGGCCATTAGAGGAATTGCAGTTTTTGCCAATTCCGCGTTGGCTTCATTTTTCAGCCTGTAACTCATTCAAAATCCTTAGTTTATCTCTCAAAGTAAATATGTAAATCCACAACATGTCAGTGCCATCTGAATGACAAATCCTTGAACCACAAGACAACAAGACAGTCAAAATGTTTAGCCATGTTTTGATGTCATGGGAAATATCAAGTACAACAGTATGAAGTTAAACATTATTGTATGTTGGAGATTGATTGCAAGAAATTACACAAGATTCACATTTAAGCTTTTACTGTTTGTTCTGTAACTTGTCGACAGACCATGACATTGTGATACAGAAAAGAAAAAGACGAGATCATTTCACAGCACTGCACTGCACAAAGAAAAAACTACAAAATTAGGAGTTTAAACATGGTTGGTTGTTGTTGTTCTGGGACACCGTGTCAAGATCTGCCTGTTACATGCATTGTCTTACATGCATCCACCACCACTCCCACCCGCCCCTCTAAGACTTTTGCTACCTTAACTTTCGTCCTTGTTCCACCATGTTTCCCTCTGATGCCGCTAGGCGCTAGTTAAACTATAACGGCAGCCAGCCACGTATCATGCTGAGGTAGGACGCCTTTTTTCCGTAGGTGTCTGACGCCACAAGTCATTGCCTAAGTGCCGGATTTCGATGGCTTTTGAGTGAGACTGGGTGGAAATGAAACTTAACGGTATGCCCTCGCGATGTGGAGGTTGAACAAGTAGTTTTGAGAGTTTCACTTTTTACCACAGCAACTGAGAAAAACTAAACTAAACTTTTGTTGGAAAGTTGATCAATAAAGCAACACACAACAACCAAGAGACAATAAATGACCACAAATAGATGCCAAACGACTGCGACTTGTCTCAAAATAACCACACAGGCAGAATAAACGATGACACAGAGACACAAAACAATTGCAAAGAGATACAAATTGGCCACAAAGAGACACAGCTGCTTCTTTTGTAGTGGTTTTGTATCTATTTCAGTCTGGGTGTCCTGCTCCTATGTAGGAAGGGTGGGGGGCCTCTTACATGTCTGTGCCCAGGGGCCCATTGTCTCATAATCCATCCATGCCTGCACTGTCTGTGTGTGGAATATAGTGAAACGCTCGACATTTATGAATCCGGGAGTGCAAACACTGAAGGGAAGGATTCTTCCACTTGGAACACTTTTCCAGAAAACGCTCCATGACCGTCCTGTGTGACAATCACTCCCCTCCCTCCCTCCTCCCAGCGCAGGAACAAAAAGACATCCGAGCTATGTGGATGGGGAAGAAAAATCACAGCACTTTGTGGAGCGGCCACCGCGCTCCGGTTTCACAGAGCCTCTGACAGGCGGAGCGGCGCGCTGTTTTTACGCATAGCCTCCAGTCCTGCGGGGCATTGTAGACATTGTGTAGTAGCTGTGTAGTAGACTCCTGAGAAGACACCGGAGCGGCACAGTCCCTGATAACTGGATACCTGAGTCCAAAGTAAGAGAGTTTAAAACAGGAGAAAAACAGAGAAGCGCTTGATTGGAGACGCGGACTGTAGCTGCGTAAAGACGTGACGCATGGACTTTTCATGGTTAAAAAATACATTTTGAGCGACAGAGCTGCGATTTTTCAGGTTGAACTTTACATTCAAACCCGCTTAAGACCAGGTGACACGTAAGAGAAGAAGGAAACAAGACTTTCCTGTGATTTCGTCCTAAATGAAGGGACCGCGCAGTCTCTCCTTGGACCTTTTATCGACCTTGACTTCACTCTAAAGTGACGCAGAACATGTTGTGAGAATTTCTCCCGCGGTGTTATTTACTCATTAAGTATGCGATCTATTTGGAGGCAAGACTGAACAGGTAAGGAGAAGGGGAGCCGTGCCTGAAAAACTGGCTTCATTTCATTAAACGATGGTTGGACGTGAGTCAGCGCGGAGACAGCACGAGTAGCAGATTGAGGACGAACATTTTTTACACTTCTGACTGTTTTGACTTTGCGTCCTTCTCTCTCCGTCGCCGTGTTGGAGTGTTTATGTCACCGCAAACAAACTTCTACCTCATTAGGTTTTATATAGGCTGTGCCCTGCGTGCTTCAGTCAGCTGTAAAGTTTATTTTCCCTGACCTGGATAGGCTCCCGTCTGCAAAATGTCAATCTTAACAAGTCATTTGGTCTCGTATTCTTTCTTAAAATACACATTACTTTAAAAACTGAAAACGCGTGAGATAACTTCACTTATTTCCATTTATGTGTCAGGATTTTTCCACAAAGACGCATCTGAATTTGTTGAAAAATGTGTCCTAAAAAGTGCGAAACTACCTCATCCAGTTGGAATATGTCACACAAACTTTAAGACTCACTCTAAAACTTGATATAATATAAATAAAACGACTTTATCCCGCAGGTTAACACTCTATAATCACCATCCACCCTCTCTGTCTCCTCTCCAGGGTGCTGAGACTCTCCCAAGAAGCCGTGACAGGAGACCCGACCAGAGAAAAAGGGATTTTGACCCGCGTAAAAAAAACGAGGGAGGAGGCGCCTCTCGCGTTGAAGCAGAACCGCTTTAGATGGATTCTTCATGTTTGCTTCAGCATCAGTGGACACAGCCTGCTCCGAGCACTCACAACCCGTGACAGTAAGGTGTAAAACATGACGCATCGCACTGTATGGATAGCCGAAAACATGAGCTGCGCCCTGCGTGGAAGAAGCCGCGGCTCTCCTCTCCTCTCCGGTGCGCGCTTGGAGCAGAATGCGCACAGGGCAGCTGGTAAGGCGCCATTCAGATTCTTTAAAGTCTATGTGGGGATTTAAGACAATGCCATTTAGAAGAATATTGTTGGATGTTGTCAAAGCAGACCTGCGCCCTTGTCCTCGTGTTTGCTGTGACAACACTGTTTGATGTTTGATTTCTTTTCACATAAGCGGCTTTTTGCTGAGCTGCCTGCACGCACCTGCCAGCTGTTTTAGGCTCCTCTGACTCTGAGGGTCACTCTGACCCGTATTCACTGTTTTAGACTCGTAATTAAGTGTTTATTGGGAGCGTTTGTGAAGTGCAGTCTGGGAGGAGGATGATGGAGGTGTTTTGTTCTCTGCGTTTTTATGTAAGTGAAGTTTTATGATTTATGGTCTGACGTGTTTACAAGGTGCCAGGAGGTGACTCTGAATTGTGGAAAAATATAAATCAAAGTGGCTGTGAAGTTAAAGTGTGTGTGTGTGTGTGTGTGTGTGTGTTCTTATGGATGAGGAGGAAACAGTGGCAGTCAGGAAGTCTTCCAGTGTGACCCTCTTCTGTGGTGGGCTGCAAATCTAAATATCAAAGCACTGGTCTTTCTCTCTCTCTCACACACACACACACACACACACACACACAGCTGCATCCATTTCCCTCCTCTCCAGTCCCTCAATCTGAGGGGATCAGTGGCAGAGCGAGCCTTTTAAGCTTCAGGTGTTTTGACGTGCTGCAAGTCAAGCACATTTCTTTTCAGTTTCACATGATTGCTTCAGCCTCGTGAACATGAACACAATCTCAACTGTGGATTTTTTTTTTCATCTTCAGCACTCTCACAGCTTCAGTTTGCGGTACTTTCCGTCCCATAATGTGCAATTTGTCCTCTCAAAGATGTTTAAGAAGCTGCCCGATGCGTCAGTGAACTTTCATACTTACTCTCTGACTCAATGGCCTACTGACTCACTGAGTCATGTACATACAATGTCACTCATGCATGCAGACGAGGCTCAGTTGGAGGACGGGAGGCCTCTGATGTTCAGGGCTGAGTCTTGCTTTTTCTCTTTTTCTCTCGTCTCCTCTTCGCATCTCAAAGCTGTTGTCAGGGGTTTCGTCATTAGGCAAATGTTTGGGGCTCCTGATGGCACGACGTTGGCACATTTTCCGAGGACAATGATGAATTAGGCTTGCCACAGCAGTACACTGATTACATTACATGCCCACCGCCTCCACCACCATTTTGCTTTTTCTATCAATACTTAGTCGGACGACAGTTGCTCCAATTATAAACTGAAAGTCTTTTGTGCAGCACAGAGTAGCAGGAGTCAGATTTCACTTATCACGTGACAAGACTAAAGAGAGTTGATCGACAAAACGATGGCGGAGGATTTAATGTCAAAGCAAAAGGCAGGGGGCCTCCATGGGCTTCTTTGCCTGGAGCCTCCCACAGTCCAGGATCGCCTCTGGCTGTAGTGTAGTTGAATCTGTGTGAGAGCTTTGGCATCACCTGAGACATGTCACACATCCCCAGCAGGCGCCCTCCTCTATACGCCTGTAAAATGTGCGAAAACATGTCGTGAAACAATCTTGTTTTTCTTTACTCATGTCGCTCAAAAGTTGGCAGTTTGTTCTCAGGCTGAACATGAGAGTGTCGCCTCAGCTTCAGGCATCTCGCACTCCCCCGTCACGCCGCCACAGCTTTCACTTCCTCCGGTCAAAGGTCACGGGGTCAGCGGCCCCGCCGTGGGTCAGGTACAGCGGGGCTGGTCGAGTTCTCTTTACCAGCAGCCTCCTGATGTGTGGTCTGGTTTGTTTTAACTGGCATGCGGCTTTATGAGAGCTAGCGTGCCGTTTGTTGGTGTTATGGGTTTAACTCTTTCTTGCTCTCGAGCTGTTTCTGTGGTACCAGTCAGACTCACGAAGAGCCAGTCGAACACTTAAAACGACAAAGTAAGTTATCGTTAGTACCACTCTTTCATATAGAAGCATCCTCATAAATATGTTCAGAGCCACTGTGGCTGTAAACATGCTGTTTGTCTTCCTCGTCCAGGGCTCTATATTACTCACTAAGCTCTCAGTTTCAGAGCCTGATACTTCAAATATTACTTTTATGTATTTCATTAAAGACTCTGAGACATATTGAGGATAAAATCTCACATTTTTAGTGAATGCAACTCCTACAGATTGCATCTCTCCCATCAAATTTGCCAAGAAAAACATAATATACCTCACCCTGCAACCAAGGGGGGATGAAATGGGAAAAAATGTAGAAAGGAACAACAAATTACGTTAGTTACAGAGCTCAGTAAATCATCTAAAGAGAGATAAAGAGGAACCAAACAGTCTCTATCTGCTGACTTTGTCTTCCTTCAACCACTTTCACTTTAACGCCTCGATTTCTTAATCTTGACCCCCTTTACACCTTGAATTAAAATGCATTTATTTACACCTGGTGTTAATGTGTCTCCAGCACCCACACTGAGATCTGATTGCTCTGCACAGCTCAAACAACCAAATGACTGTAGCCATTCTCCACCATTTGCTGTGCCATTGCTCCATAAATCGCTTGGTTGCTTATATGCATTTGTCATTTGACCAAATTGTAAGCAGACACTTAGTCTTGTCTTGACTCTATTCTTCTATCAGCTTTCTTGCTAGCAGCGTAGCTCGCTTACTGGCTGGGTGCTACCTCGTGTGATTATGTATTTCTGCCCACGTGGTTCTTATATGTGGATTAAAAATGCAGTTGCGTTCTCTATGGTCACAATGCATCCCTGACGAACACCAGAGGTGGTCTGGCCGACCGGATCAAGTTTCCTCTGTGCCTTTTGGGTGCATTTACACCTGCACCTTCATGTAGTCAAACACTCCGATTGCAATCCGCTCAACCAAAACGTATTGTAGTGCAAGCTGTAAAGGAGGTCTTTGAGAAGGCAAATTTTCAAGATTAGATATTTCTTAAGTTTGTCCCCATGCCCTGGCTTTAGTTTGGCTAAGAACACAACAGCTTCACCCATAATTAGCATTTCTGTTTTATGGACAATTTGTAACTAAATCAAAAGAAACATTTTAACTATATTCAGAAAAAAAACAAGCACTCCCCAAATATAAAAGTACCCCCTTAACGTTCACTCCCCACTTACCAACTGTTATTTTTAAATTTTATTTAGTGACGTCTGAGCAGCTAAACTAAGGATGCATGATGGCACTGGCACGTCATCAGGCTCAGCAGATAGCGGCTTTAAATGCACTATCAGAGTCAGCCAACATGCTTTTTCTTATTTTGCACAATGAATGAATATTACATATATTGAAAAGCATTGTATTTCATGTCTCCATCTGCTGGTGGGTCATCTCGATAAGAGTATGCATGTATAATAAGATGTTAATTCCACTACAGGAGAGACTTGATGATCACTAAAATTAGATGGGAAAACAGTGGATATATTGATATCGGTTTCAGGTATCGACCAAATACGTTATTTGTCAGCATATTGGATATCGGCAGAAAATCCATTATCATGCATCCCTAAACTAAACGTAAATATACTATACTATACCTACAATACTGTATATTTGTATTAAATCAGCTGTAGTTAAAAAGACATTGATCAATTACTGTAAATTAGTTTTGTTTCTAAATTTGCCTGCCTTCTAAATACACTTAGTATTCATTGTTAGGCAGCTAGCACAAGAAAACTTCACCTATGTCTTGAATACAATTTCTGCTTTACTCAAACTTTACGAATATTGTTGACTTTGCAATATGGACATAGATTTTGGCGGGGGGGACTCAGGGGACATGTTCCCCTCAATATTTAGAACACGCGTATTTGTCCCTTCCAATTAAAACATAAATCTAGTAGAGGACTTTTATTTTGACAAAGTTAAAGACATGAGCTGATGCAGAAAAGGAAAAAATAGCAAGGTGTTTGATGCTCAAATTTTCCTTGGAGAGGACCCCAAATCCCCAGTTTCATATGATTCCCCCCAGTGCACTGATGAAAGTCAAGGACTGAAACGTTTGCTGCTGTTTTTATTCACTTTTTATTTTTTGCGCTTTGAGCACCCTTCATTTTGTGTGCAGACGGCCCATTTTTTTTGCCTTTGAACCTTTTTTGTGGCCGTCCAGCCCAGTTGTATTGGTGTGCAGATATCTCCTCTGCCGCCCCCCTAAGTGTTGAAACAAAACCTACGCCCCTGCTCAGCAAATCCAAAAGCACCTTACTTGTTGTAATCAACTCTCTCTTCTTTTTTCTACATGAGTCTTTAAAAAAAGAAAGCGAGAACAAAATGCGCATGTGCAGTGAAGGTGAACTCTTCATATACTGTAACTCAACTTGAATCTGGACTCGTTCATCCAGTTTGTCAATTAAGAGATTTTAAGAGCACTTAATGATATGTTGTCAACTTCATTATATTTCTTAAAAATCTGCAGACATTACAGGATACTTTCAGTTTTGTTCAGTTCATCAAGTTGCCTTTATTTTTTCCCCTGATGACCAAGTTGACTATAAATCTTGATTTCTTGATCTGATGATGTGTTGTGTTGTATATTTTCAGGATCAGTCAGTCTCACAGCACTTTATAGGTTGTTACCAGACATAATAAAAATCAGTTAAAGCCATAAATCTTGTAATATAACTTTAATTGTTCTGTAAAAAGCAGCCACGAGAAAACAATAAAGACACAAACAGCTGGAGGGGATCGTAATGCAAAAGTCTAAATGCATGGATTGCTCAGTTGCACAAACACAGTCACAGGTTTCAAATCTACGAACAACAGATTCAAGCGTTTTGCTCGTTCTGTAGAAACATTAAATGCAGTGAAATATTCACCAGGTGAAGGAGGGCACGATCTCTTCGATTAGTGGAAATCTATCATTAGAAGATGGACGTGTGCACGGGGAGCCCAGCAGTCCTCAGCTGCGTCTCAGCCTCAGTGTGTAACGTTACTCTGGTTGTTTTGTCCCAGCGCTAATGGAGAGAGTGCAGTGAGAGAGATTGATTATGCAACCCAAAGTGCCACAGGGCAGCTTCAAT